GAACCATTGTATACTCAAAATCAAGCTTGTGTCATCTCTATCCCATCCTTCACTTACCACCTTTTTTATTTTGAAAAGAATCTCAGACATCATCAAATTTAATCTGTAAATATTTTGTCAGTAATTTTTTTTACACAATGACAATTACACCATCATATTAATAAGCAAAATCTGTTATATTAATTGCTATTATCAAATAAACAGTCGGTGGTCAAATTTCCAAAAAGCTCATAGTTGTCATAAATGGTTTCTTTGTTTGTATGTTACCGTTTGTTTAAATCAGAATGGAAATAATCTCCACATGCTGGGATTAGTTGGTGTGTGTATCTTTTAAGCCTCCCTTACGCAAGAGCTTTCCATTCTATCTTTCTTTTTTTCCCCTTATGCAACTTGTTTATTCAAGAAATTAGATCAGTTGTTCTGCAGTTTAAGAAAATATGGATTTTGCTGAGTTCCTTTTTTTTTTTCCTGAGTGTTCTATTGCATGCATAAACCACAATTTGTTAATCTATTCATCTGATATTTGGATTGTTTTCAGTTTTGGGTGCTAGCCAGTAAGGGTGCTATGAGCATTCATGCGCAAGTCTTCGTGTGCGTAAATACCAAGTAATGGAATGGCTGGTTTATCTGGTAGGTGTGCATTTAACTTTCTAAGGTTAGACTGCTAAACTGTCTTCTAAGTGGTTTCACGACTAGATATTACCACACTAATGTGTGGGAGTTCCAGTTGCTATATGTCCTTGTCAACACTTGGTACTGCTGGTTTGTAAAATATTAACTATTTGAATGGAAGTATACGGTATCTCATTGTGATTTTTGTTTGTGTTTTCCTAATGACTAGTAATGTTGAGTGTCTTTTAGTGAGCTTGTTTTCAATTTGTATAACTGGTGAAGAGCCTGTTCAAATTTTACCCATTTTGTATTGGCTTGTTTGTCTTCTTATTGTCGAGTTCTAAAGATTACTTCTATGTTTTGGATACATATTTTTTATCAGATGCTTGTTTTTCAATTATTTTCTCCCAGGCTGTGGCTTGTCTTCATTTTCTTAGTAGTGTTGTTTGGAGAAAAGAGGTTTTTAATTATTGATGAAGTATAGTTTGTCATATTTTTTCCCTTTTGAGGTGTGCTTTTTGTGTCTTATAATTTCTAAATGTTAAAATAAAAAATTAAAGGGACACATCCATATAGTGGAACACTATTAAGGGATAAAAAGAAAATGAGCTGTCAAACTATAAAAAATGTGGAAGAACCTTAAATGCATATTGCTAAGTGAAAGGAGCCAATCTGAAAAGGCTACACACCATATGATTTCAACTACCTGACACCCCAGAGGAGACAAAATTGTGGAGACAGCGAAAAGATTAGTGGTTGCTGTGGCTGGGGGAGGAGTGATGAATCAGTGGGTCACAGAGGATTTTTAGGGCAGTGAAACTGTCCTGTCTGATACTGTAATGGGGATACATGTTATTGTATGTTTATCAAAACCCATAAAATACAGTGCCAAAAGTAAACCTTCTTGTGAACTATAGACTAGCCTTAATAGTAATGTGTTCAGAAAATATTGGTTCATCAGGTGTTACAAATGTTTCACTAAAGCAAGAGATGTTAAAAATGGGGGAAATTGGCCGGGCGCAGTGGCTCAAGCCTGTAATCCCAGCACTTTGGGAGGCCGAGGCGGGTGGATCACGAGGTCAAGAGATCGAGACCATCCTGGTCAACAAGGTGAAACCCCGTCTCTACTAAAAATACAAAAATTAGCTGGGCATGGTGGTGTGCGCCTGTAGTCCCAGCTGCTCGGGAGGCTGAGGCAGGAGAATTGCTTGAACCCAGAAGGCGGAGGCTGCGGTGAGCCAAGATCGTGCCATTGCACTCTAGCCTGGGTAACAAGAGCGAAACTCCGACTCAAAAAAAAAAAAAAAAAAAAATGAAATGGGGGAAATGGTGATGAGGAGAGGAAGGTATATGCCAACTCTTTATTTTTCACTCAATTTTTTTTTTTTGTAAACCAAAAACTGCTCAAAAGACAAATAAAGTTTATCAATTAAAAAAAGAAAGAGAAAAGTACCTTTGAGAGGTAGGGAAGCCTAATATTTTTTAAGGTTTTCTTTTCTTTTCCCTTTTTTTTTTAACTAGGTTCCAGGATACCTGTGCAGAACGTGCAGGTTTGTTACATAGGTATATGTGTGCCATGGTGGTTTGCTGCACCTATCAACCCAGCATCTAGGTTTTAAGCCCCGCATGCATTAGGTATTTGTCCTAATGCTGTCCCTCCCTTCGCCCCCAACCCCACAACAGGCTCCAGCATGTGATGTTCCCCCTCCCTATGTCCATGTGTTCTCATTGTTCAACTCCCACTTATGAGTGAGAACATGTGGTGCTTGGTTTTCTGTTCCTGCATTAGTTTGCTGAGAATGATAGGGGAAGCCTAATGATTTTAAAGTAGCTTAAGTCCCTCTGTGTTGGACACCTCGGCATTTTAGACCAATGGTGGCCTCTCCTGACTTCCCTCGTGTAGGTGCATCACCACTTCTTTACCTCCCTAGACTTTGAACTTCAGGTTTTTTAGTCTCTGTCTCGACTTTCTGCCTCCAGGCAGTTCTCACCTCCTGCTTAGCATCTTCCACAGTTTCTCTTTCCATCTGTGCTTCCTGCTTCCCCGTGGCACACTCAAGGCTGACCTAATCCCTGACCTGGACTTTCCAGGCCTCCTGACCCGTTGCATTTACCCTCCCTACCTGGGAATCCATTCCGGCCCTTTATAGCTTGTAGCGTGTTCCTCTTTATCCTAATATTCAGGGCCTTCTAGTAATCCTAATATTGTCTTCTTTATGGCAGCAAGAGGACAGTGCTAGGGAATAACTTCAAGTAGCATGTGTTTGTCCCCAGTTCTGCACTCTTAGGGTGGCGTTCCATGGTCGTGAGTCATTGCTGTGTTCCAGAGGATCCCCCCACCCCACATGGCTAGAGGCTAGAAGTCATTATCAAGAGTAAATACTGCCAAGTCCTAGCAAACTTGGTCAGGTTACTCATCTGGATGATTCAGAAAATCAGATCAAGAAATGGATGTTACACAGCAACTGCCAGCATTGCTAACACCAAACAAAAGCTAGCCAAGCCAACTAATACAGGAACTGGAATGAAAAGAGCAAAGAATCACATACAGCAGAATGTTTAGGGGAGGATTGGTGCTCACACAGGAAATGGCTGGTTTATTACACAGGGAAAGGGAACAGCCCCAACTAAGCTCACTGTTTTATTTTTGTTGTGTATAAATGCATTACACCTCCAATTCAGAGCCATGATAAAATTTATAGGCTAGGAATTTGTTTTCAGATACTGTGTTCCTATGGAATCATTTCTAAAACCTGCTTTTCCTCTACACTGTCAACTTTCAGGAAAACTGAACTTTAAAGAAAAAAGTCATTTAAACTTCTCCTAGATGGCATCTTACACAATCCAAACCATATTAAAATAAACACCCTGGCCTCGAATTTATGCTCAAGGACAACTTGTTCTGGAGGCTGAGTACTTAGAGCACATCTTGTAAGAGTGGAAACCTACAGACGAGGCTCAGAGCCTTTTCAGATGTTTGTGTATATATTTTTGTCCTGCTCTATGCTCGTGTAAATAATACTGATTCAACAGTGTTCCAAGGTGATCACCTTGGCACAGAATGCCATGGCCATTTTCCAAAACCATTTCTTTGTATAAGTGCCTTGAACCTTCCGGTAAGTTCTGAGTACCTTAGGCCCTAAGATCGAGGTTTGCGTTCTGGTTTCCTGGTGCAGGCCCCCTTCTTTTAAAGGTGCCGGCCTCATTGGTATGATCTGGCTTCCCTCTGTCTCTGCATGAAACCATTTCCTTCTCCCTCCCTCTGTTTGAAGTTTGCATCTGTGTGACTCAGCACAGGCTGAGAATTTTGTAGACAAGCAGGGTGGGTCCCGGTTCACTAACTAAACCCTGAGAATCGACTGTGACCATGAATCACACAGCATTTCTTCCCCACACCCCATGCAAAACTCGTGAGCCATGCCCAGAAGCCCTTGACTGCTGGGGACTCCCTTCATCATCATTAATTCCTCCCCTGTTAGTGACGTCTGTGAGTGTTCTTCTCCCACACTCCTTCTACAGGTGAGGAAAGGAAGGCTTGGAGGTTTTAAATAACTGGTCCAAGTTCACTGAACTGGAATGCTGACTCTCACATCTCAAAACTCTTTCTACCAAAGGAGAAAGATGAAGTCTGAGAAATATTTTACTCTAATAAGTGAAATTTTTAATATTCTGAAGATAAATAACCTGGTACTCCTAAGAAGCCAGGTTCAACAGCTGATTCAGGAATGCTGCTAAGAGTTCAAAACATGCAGGAGGGGAGTTTCCTTGAGACAGAGCCAGGCCTTCCTCAATTTTGCATCCTATGCATCTGTGCTCACTGTTGACTGGGGAGAGAACTGAGAGGCAGCAAAGAGGGAGGAGGTGGTGGTAAGCGAGGAAGGGTGTTGACAGGACTTCCTGGCATCCTATTTTACTCTCTGCATGTTCTTTGTTTCTAGATTTTCACTACACTTTTGTCACTTCAATAACTGTCTTACATATGAACTTTTTCTTTAATTTGTGTACTTTTCAAAGCAAAAAACTTATGAAAGTTTTTTCATAAGTTTTCAGAACAAGACATGAGGCATGTAAAGTCATGGAGGACTAAAAAGCTAATGCTGTTTTGCTAACATTAGAGTTAACATAAGGACACCACAAAGCTGATGTTAGCATAGGATGTTGATTTTGATACTGCAAAAAATGCTAAAATTTCAACTCGGTATGCTGATAAGTAAACAGCTCTTGGCTCTTGGCTAACTAGGGCAACAGCTATACCCATCAGAATTATAGTACTGTCCAAAAATATTTCAGGTGCAAAAGCAAAAGTCCTGGTTGCAGTGTGTAACACACTCAGGAGGCTCCTGAAATATTACTAACTTCAGTAATAATGTAACTTGACACTGTCATCCCTTTGGAGTAAGTAACTCTTTATTGGCAAGATCTGACTTGGCTGGATCTTTAGAGTACTGGTAGTCATTGGAGACTTCCTCCTCCATCACCTAAGGTTGACAAAATAGAAGAGGCATTTTATTTACTCCCTTTTAATTGTGATAAAATTTAAAAGAATAGTATGTCCAAAAAAGGAAAATTTATACTTACTGTCTCATTTGTTCCTGGATTAGGACCGAAGTGTTTTGGGGACGGCCTGCAAAAGCTCTGTAGATCTCTGTTGGCTACACAAAATGGCAAAAGCCACAGCTGCAGAAATTGTTGCAAACTTCATTCACTTCATCATCAGATGAAGATCTCTACTATTACTTTGGAATTTGGAGCTAAATGCTGGTGTCCTTAATCTTGATGCTTAAGCTTTGGTGAATGTCCATACTGTCTAATCTACACAATGTATTATTACCTTTGAAGTAAACTCTTGATGTCCCTTGTGGAAATGCATCTCTGCTGGAGTGTTTTGGCTCTCATATGGTCATTAGGTACCATCCACTTGCATTAAAAGACTTTGTCTTTAGAACCAATTTCTCTTCCACTTCTAAGTACTGGTTTCTTAGCAAATGAATACATTAACTAGCCAGTAAATAAATAAATAATACTCATTTTAGACTAGGCATGGTGGTTCATACCTGTAATTCCAGCACTTTAGGATCAAGTTTGAGACCAGCCTGGGCAACATAGCAAGACCCTGTCTTTACAAAAAAAAAAAAAAATCTATATATATACACACACACACACACACACACATATATATATGTACACACACATATATATGTCTATATATGTATATACACACACACACACACATATATATATGTATATATTAAGCACCCAACATTAAGCAGGGGTGTTTAAGCAGGGTGAAAATCTGTGTGTGCAGTGTTGATTGAAGGAAAGGGAACTCACCCTTGGCTTTCTTTGTGTGTGTGTGTGTGTGTGTGTGTGTGTGTGTATGTATGTAAATATAAATATATATATATATATGTAAATATATATTTTTTGGGGCATGGTGGCGCATACCTGTAGCCCCAGCTACTCAGAAGGTTGAGGTGGAAGGATCCCTTTAACCCTGGAATTCAATGTTGCAGTAAGCCATGATCAAGCCACTGCACTTCAGCCTGGTCAACAGAGTGAGACCCTGTCTCAAGAATGAAACAAAATCCACATTTTAGAGCTAGTCTTTCTTGCCTTTTTCAAGGGGGATAGAAAAGTAGCAGAGAAAGCTAATGTTGTTCAATGGGAAGAGCACAGGCCTCGGGAACCATCAGGAAATGAAGGTGTAGATTATAATCAAAGCACCAGCTGTACTGCTACCTATTATTGATGGGACCTTCAGCAACGTGCTCAAATTCTCCAGTCATAGTGAAATGGCGATAATAACAACCATTACACCAAATTTGCAGGGCGAAGTGAGGATGGTGTTTGTGAAAATCTTTGAAAACTGGGATCTACTAAGGTTATTTCCAGATTTCTTTGCCTTTTTTCAAAAAACAGCTTTATTGAGATAAAATTCATATACCATACATTTCACCCATTTCAAATGTACAATTCATTGGTGTTGGTATATTCACAGATCTATGCAGCCACCAGCACAGTCAATTTTAGAATATTTTAATCACCTCATAAAAAAGCCTATACCCTTTAGCTATCATCTCCCTGGCCCCTTCCATTGCCTGTTTAATTTTTATTTTATGTTTATTTATAGAGAGTCTCGGATAATTTTTTAAATTAAGTTAAGTAAAAATAAAATTACTTGTGGATGACATTAAAATACTGTTTCCTATGAAGAATGTCTCTGTAGGGCTTTCCAGTTAATGATCTAAGTGCATTGGCAGGATGAGGGATGATGAGCTAAGTGTTAATAAATGACACTGCTAGGAAGATTACAATTCAAATCCGTTTCTATTTTGAGAAGCAGAAAAAATGGATGAGTACTCACTGTTACTGTTGAAGTCACGGTACCATGAAAGCCGCTCATTAAATCAGGATGGGTCTGTGGGAAGGTGGGGAGGGAGGAATGCACTGATGAGTGGAGGGCGGGTGGAAACTGCCCCCAGGAGTAGATCTTCCTAGCCCAGGAAATCCACACCATCAGGGAGCTGCTGGACTGTTCCTTACCTGAACTTCCTAAGTCCATGAATTGGGCTTCATGCAGCAGAGCTAGGGAGGAAAGGATAGAAAGAAGGAAGGAAGGAGAAAACCCCTCCAGGACCGCCTTTGTTTTCTGTACAACCCAAACATTAAGCAGGGGTGTTGAAGCAGGGTGAAAATCTGTGTGCAGTGTTGGCTGGGGGAAAGGGAACTCACCCTTAGCTTTCTTTTTGTTACAGGCCGCCAGATCCCACCCTTGGACCACCATGAAAATGGAAACAATGGAGCAATCAAACTTGTGAAGCAAACTACGCAAGCCAGCCGCCGGTGCTGTTGACCCAAGGGCCATGGTCCATGGTACTTGAATAAGCCAGAGCCCACATCCCTGTGCGCTGCCAAATGACCCTACGCTCGGTGTCCTGGCACCTCACTTTGAGAAGAATGAACACGCTGGCTTTGCATCCTGGAAGACCTGCAGGGGGTGGGGCAGAAAATGTCCCTGAAAAAGCATTTTAGAAAACCCTGGAGAAACCCCCACACCACCACAAAATGGTCTTTAGTGCATGAAATGCACATGGAAGGGATGTAGTTGCATTTTTGCTAGAAAACCTTTAAAAATTCTTGGATGTATACAAAAGTCTTACTGCCTTATTATGTGTATGGGATTCTAAAGTGGAGTTCCACTCGGATTTCCTGTGCTGTCTATCCAAATTCCAGTAACTTCTTCAGTGTCATTGCCTTTGTTGCCTAACCAACCTTCACTGAAAGGCAAATTTAATTCAGGAGGTTAGTTTTTAGCTAGCTTTGGAAGTAAGACTTTATTTATTACTTTTCTGAGGGAAAGGGAGAAGTGTCAATGGACCATCACTCAGACTGAGACTTGAGCTATTATAGAAGCCAGGAAAAGTGTACTAGAAACTGTTTTCTACACCTCTTTTAATTGGTGAACATTTTTCTAAGTTATGGTCATATATACTCAAACAAACCAAATAAGACTAAATTATTGCATATAATTTTGGGACTGGGAGGCCTAGTTTGAAAGAGCAATTTAAGTAATCACTATGTAAGTGGCAAGAGATGCAGGCTATACACGTTATTCAAGAGACCACCTGGCATGCGTCTCTTCCGCAGGAGTACATTTCCCCTCTCTTTGAGAAGTTTAATGCACATAATATTATTTTACTAAGAGAATATCTCTTAGTGTCATATCTAAGGGAAGAGAATTAACTGGAATTAAGTTTAATGTTTGAATCTAAGTCATAGGGCAAACTTCTATTAATAGCAATTAATAATAGGTTATAGGAAAGCCAGCCGGAGGAAGCATCAGCATCTTAAAATTCTAGACCCCAAAAAACTACAAAATCAGAGAAAGTATTTTTATGTTTCTAGCTTGGAGAGAAGGTTTTAGGGCTAACCAGAGGTCTGACCCTGGAATGCCAAGGAACTGAGAATGGGCTTTGATGAAAACCTTCCTTTTCAGATTCCCTGTCTGCTCAATTAATTAAAGATATTTGAATCCAAAGGAAGTCAAGGAATAAAAAGCTTGGCAAGGAAAAAAAGGGATTCCTACTGAGAATTCAAATTCTATTACCATTCTAACTTTCATAAAATGTTGGGATCAAGAAGCAGTTGATTTCCTGCCAGAGCTGATATTAGGGGGTGATTCTTAAAGGACATTAGGATTGGTGCTCAGAAATGGTTAATCATGCTGTGTGCTAACCAGGGCCAGCTGGTACCTTCTTTGCTATGAGCATTCGAGGGACAGCTAACCCTTACTGACAGTCTATAATGTGAAAGTCAGGAAAGAGATCGTGAGCTGATTAGATTAAAGATGGCTCATGCCTGTAATCCCAGCACTTTGGAAGGCCCATGCAGGCAGATCATGAGGACAGGGTTTGAGACCAGCCTGACCACCATGGTAAAACCCCATCTCTACTAAAAATACAAAAATTAGCTGTGTGGTGTTGGGCGCCTGTAGTCCCAGCTACTCAGGAGGCTAGGCAGGAGAATTACTTGCACCCAGGAGGCAGAGGTTGCAGTGAGCCAAGATCACGCCATTGCACTCCAGCCTGGGCAACAGAGCAATACTCCATCTCAAAAAAAAAAAAGACCTGGCACTTCAGTAATCAGCACACTTCTGCTTTACTCAAGAGAGTTCATTGACAGTCTTAGGATACAAAGGCTGGAAAACATTTATTTTGCTTCAAGAGTTACATTTGGCTTTCCCAAACAGGTAGCTGAAAAAGTTAGCAAGTGGCATTTGGATGTCTTGACAGGGCCTTTGCAGGAATTTTTAGGGTTTTTTCCACATGTCCACGTTAATGGCTGGCATGATGGTGCTTGCAGGCCAAGAAATGATCATACCTCTTGCCAAAGGTAAAAAAAATTGAGTTGAAAATTAAAGTGACCTCTTTCCAGCTGACATGCAGCCTTAATTTGTAACTTTTCTTCATCTAGTTTTCCCTGAGAACCTGGATTTATCTCTAGACAGCTGATCAGATTTTGAGCTGAGGGATAAATATCCTAGCTGAGAGTTTTGTAGCTTTGGGCTGGGTTTGCAGTGGTTGTATTTTGCATAAAATGTCTAGTCTTAGCCACACATAGTGAGCTACCCACTAATGAGCCCATGGTTTTATTTCGGAAGCACATGAAGGTGTAAAACCACTGTTACCTTTCTGTATTGCCTTAGCTATTCAAACCAGTCAGATGACTATATATATATATATTCTGATCACCACTCAGAGCAGTTGAAGAAAGTGGATCACACTTGGGCACACCAGTATTCACATAAACATTGAATCTTCTCTGTGGATGCTCAGGCCTTGTCTACAGTGAGGCATTACAACCTTTCTTTGTTTTGGCTTGGGATTACTTCCTTGCTGTCTAATAATTGAACCATAACCACACAATATTATGCAAAGGCCTGGAAATTACTGTTGCTAAAAAAAAGTCATGTAGTTTCATGTAATGTTTTCCAAAATTTGTTCCTTCTCCCTTTTTTTCTTTCATGTGTGGCATGAGTGTGTGTCTGTGTAAATATGATTGTGTATGTGTTTTTCCAACATGTAATCCATTTCACTGGCTGAGTTTGGCCACTAGCCATACATTAATATAAGGTAGGCATGGTTTCTCAGAGGGCTGGTTTCCCAGTGGAAATATCTGAGAATGGCAGTGGAGTTGTGCAAGCATTTTACATTGTCACATAATTGACTTGCCATTTTATGGTTTAAAATGGCACATTAGGCTGTTGAGTGTGACGTTACCTTGCAGACTAAAAGGTTGAAGACTTGAAACTAACTTTTAACCAACAATAAGGGCTGTACCCCAATGAAAACTGAGTTCATTTTCTGAGAAAGGTTTGGATGACTGAAATATTTCCTCTACAGTCAAGGACCTTGGCATGAGATGGCTGAAACTGAACTTTTTTGTGTAAGCTTCAGTTCTCACTGTTCTGCAATGCTCATGGCAAGTTGAATGGTGAACTAGCTTATAAACTAAAGGGTTCTGAGCTGTATTCAGACCTATTTGTCATCTAGCTTACTGTCTTAACATTGTTGAAACCAGACCCCGTAATCCAATGGCGCTGTTCTGTCGTGCAGACTGCTTCCTTTTCTCGTGTTTTTGCAAAGCGCTTCCGTCTGGGCTGGACCCAGTTCTTGCACATACAAGACACCGCTACAATCAGCTAGGACCTTTCCACCAGGTATCCTATTCTGTAGTAAAGCATTTCCTTCAACAATGCCCAATTGTATCTGTTATTTTTGGTTTAACTCACACTGATTCATACTAATAAATATTTTAAGTTTTATCGTTTGTCTTTTTCTTATTACAATGTTCAGTAGAATCATTTTTTAAAAATCACAGTTAAACAGAGAATGATGATTCCCAGGGAAATGTGTGCACCTGTACATTTGCTGACATGCATAAGAATGTTCCCGGAAACACTGTTTGCAATAGCAAAATGTTGTCTTCCACTGAGGAAATGGAAAAATGAAATGTGGCCTAGCCACATGATGAAGGCTATCAGGTAATTAAAATGAATGCAGTATTATCATGCATCAACATGGATCTCAAAAACAGAATTTGGAGTGCAGGCTGCCATCCTGCACACTCCCAAGGGAGCCATCATCATAGTGGCCTGTTCGAATGCAACCCTCAGGAACTGTGCAGTGCACAGCCTGGACAACCACCTGTGTCCCTGGCTGAGAGAATAAAGTAAGCTGAATAAGTACCAATGCATATCAGCTCACACAGAACAATAATTCAGACATTGTTTACGAATGTGTTTGTGTGCTAAAAGAATTAGAAAGTGAAACATGAACCTCATGATGGTCCTTACCTGAAGGGAGGGAGAAAGTGAACAGGATCAGGGAGAACAAAGGGCATGTAACTATCAGTCATTTGTATTTACTTCATGATAGAAAAATCTGAAGACGATATGACAAAAGGATAACATTTGGTCGTTTCAAGGCATATGTTTTATTAGCCTCTATATTTTTCTGAGTGTTTTGTTTTTCAAAGAGAAAGGGGAATGGAGACAAGAAACAAACAATAAAGGATCGGGGTGACTTCTTTAATATGCAAGAATGATTTCATCACTGTGCTTGCCAAGTCAGTTACCCACTAAATTTGATGAGGTATACTCACTCCCATCCCCCCTCCTCCATCATCTCAGCCTCTACTACCTGCCACCAACAAACACACACATACTTTCAAATTCATGCCCTTGCGGGGCTTATGTTTTCTCTGCATAGCTTCATTTGATGTCTAGAGGACTGGGAAAGTGGGAGATGAAGAGGAGATATGCAGCACCTTCATGTTCTCAGCATCAGAGACACTGAGGCCCCCGCTAGAAATGTTTCCAATATGTAATCAAACTAGAAACACCCACTGTCACCATCAAGAGACTCAGTGTTCCAATTTTATGAGAAAATACGCCTTTCTTTTGCATTTACTAAGAAGCAGTTGTCTGTGTATAGCAACTTTGGGAAATGTTTTCGGAAATAATCCCATGATTGAACTCAGATGGCATATTTCATGCAGCCCAGACTTCGATGTCAATAGTATTCTGCACAGGGATTCCACTACCCACTTCTGCACAACTGTTTTGTTCCACCTGGGGGTGTATTTAATAGAACCAGTGACTGAGGAGTTATGCCCTGAGGCTGGCAACTTGCACATTTTTACAAAACTTGCACATTTTTACGAGACTACTCCAGTGGATTGAGCGGGGCGCTGGAGAGCAAGGACAAGGAGCTCGGTCTGTGCTCAGCTGACTCCAGCATTCCCTGTGGTTGCTATAAATAGTTCCTCTTCCTTCAAATAGTGCCTGCTCAGGCAGGTATTGTCTAGAGAGCAGACTTGCAGGTTGGAAGAGGAGAGAGACTTCATCCCAATTTCATGAGCATTCAACTCCAGGAATGTCTCCTCTCAAGTTTCTAGATGTAACTGCAGAAAACTGGCTTTTTAAACATATATGAAGCCATCTTCTCCCTTCCATTTCAGTGTTCTATTAAAAAACTGAAAAGATAACACCAACTGTTGCCTGGTATCCTGAAAAGAGGCAGTCCCATATATGCTGGTCAGAGCATAAACTGGTATAATCTTTCTAGACAGCAGCTTGGCAATGTGTCAAAAACATTTGAAATTAGCATATCCTATGAGCCACTAATGCTATTTTTCTATTTTTGGGAATTAATTTTGCCTTTATGTGTGCATGCATAACAGAAATATTATCTGATACTGCAAAACACATTTGTTTTGCACAAAACTTAAACTGGCATAAAACAAACAATTGGTGTGTAGATCACAAGGTCAAGAGATCAACACCATCCTGGTCAACATGGTGAAACCCCGTCTCTACTAAAAATACAAAAATTAGCTGGGCATGGTGATGCACGCCTGTAGTCCCAGCTACTTGGGAGGCTGAGGCAGGAGAACTGCTTGAACCCAAGAGGTGGAGGTTGAGGTGAGCCAAGATCATGCCATTGCACTCCAGCCTGGGTAACAAAAGTGAAACTCCATCTCAAAAAAAAAAAAAAAGGAAAAAACAAGATTATATTACAGTTTCTGAGGGGAGGAAGTTGAAAATGACTTAGCTAGGTGGTTCTGGCTAGGGATTTTCAGATGTCATCTGGGGCTACAGTCATCTGAAAGCTTGACTGGGGCTGGGATTCTGTTGCTGAGGTGGGTCACTCACTGGCTGTTTGCAGGAAGCCTCCATTCCTCACCAGGTGAACCTCTCCATGAGCTGCTTGATGACCTCATGATGTGGCATGAGCCCCATTCTGTCTGATGCAGAAAGCTGAATGTAGTTTTCTTTCACCTGTTTACAGAAAATGGGATTTTCTTTTCTATCACATTGTCAGGCTACACATTTTCTGAACTTTTATGCTCTACTTCCCTTATAAAACTGAATTCCTTTAACAGCACCCAAGTCACCTCTTAAATGCTTTTCTGCTTAGAAATTTCTCCTACCAGATACCCTAAATCATCTCTCTCAAGTTCAAACTTCCAGAAATCTCTAGGGCAGGGGCAAAATGTCACTAGTCTCTTTGCTAAAACATAACAAGAGTCACCTTTACTCCAGTTCCCAACAAGTTCCTTGTCTCTATTTAAGACCACCTCCTTGCAGTGAGCCAAGATCATGACACTGCACTCCAGCCTGGCACCTGGCGACAGAGCAACACTCTGTCTAAAAAAAAAAAAATCACCTCCACCTGGATTTTATTGTCCATATTGCTATCAGCATTTTGGATAAAGCCATTCAACAAGTCTCTAGTAAGTTCCAAAGTTTCCCACATTTCCCCATCTTTTTCTGAGCCCTCCATACTGTTCCAAACTCTTCCTATTACCCAGTTCCAAAGTTGCTTCCACATTTTCAGGTATCTTTTTGGCAGCACCCCACTCCTGGTACCAATTCACTGTATTAGACTATTTTCATGCTGCTGATAAAGACATACCTGAGACTAGGTAATTTACAAAATAAAGAGGTTTAATGGACTTAAAATTCCACATGGCTGAACTTTCATGCTCTGCTTCCCTTACAAAACTGAATGCCTTTAACAGCATCCAAGTCACCTCTTAAATGCTTTTCTCCTTAGAAATTTCTTCCACCAGATACCCTAAATCATCTCTCAATCTGGGTCTCACAATCACGGTGGAAGGCAAGGAGGAGCAAGTCACATCTTACATGGATGGCAGCAGCCAAAAAGAGAGCTTGTGCAAAGAAACTCCCATTTTAAAACCATCAGGACCCACTCACCATCACAAGAACAACACAGAAAAGACCCGCCCCCATAATTCAGTCACATCACACCAGGTTCCTCCCATGACATGTAGGAACTGTGGAAGTTACAATTCAAGATGAAATTTGGGTGGGGACACAGCTAAACCATATCAGTTGGAGATGTGGGCACTCTTCCAGGTGGTGGTGGAGAGCTGGAACTGGAGCCTCTTCCAGGAGGTGGCAGAGTGCTGGAGATGGGCCCCCTTCCAGGAGGTGGTAGAGAGCTGGAGATGGGTTCCCTTTTAGGAGGTGGCAAAGAACTACAGATGGTTCCCCTTCCAGGAGGTCATGGAGAACTGGAGATGAGTCCCCTTCCAGGAAGTGGTGGAGTGCTGGAGATGGGCCCCCTTCCAGGAGATGGTAGAGAGCTGGAGATGGGTTCCCTTTTAGGAGGTGGCAAAGAACTACAGATGGTTCCCCTTCCAGGAGGTCATGGAGAACTGGAGATGAGTCCCCTTCCAGGAAGTGGTGGAAAATTGGAGATGGGCTCCCTTCCAGGAGGTGGCAGGAAGCTGGAGATGGGCACCCTTCCAGAAGGTGGTGAAGAGCTGGGGCTGGGTCTTTTCCTAGGAGGTGGTGGGGAACTGGAGATGGGCCCCCTTCCAGGATGTGGTGGAGAGCTGGGGCTGGGTCTTTTTCTAGGAGGTGGTGGGGAACTGGAGATGGGCCCCCTTCCAGGATGTGGTGGAGAGCTGGGGCTGGGCCTGCCTTCCAGGGCCTTACCTAGATGGCATCTGAGTGTCAGCTGCCTGGGCTTCTCCAGTGTTTTTCTTCCTGAAGCCGGGGGAGGAGAAACTTCACCCAGGCTTATCCATTTAGGTTTCTGAATCCTCTGCTTAGTTCCAGACTCTTCCCCCAATCTGGGGCACTTTTGAGAGTGAAAAGGGCTGCTGGGACAGAAGGAGTAAGGGGTAGTTCTGAGCACACTGTGATGTGGATCATTCTAGACTAACCTTCTTCTACACTTCTGGCACTGGGGGAGGGCATGTTGGGGGACAGAAAACGCATGAGTTCCTGGGTAGCAACTTATTACCTATCTTTGTAAAATTGTCCATCTGTCCTCCCATCCAACAAGTGTTTGTTGAGTGCTACTATGAGTCAGATTTCTACAATTACCAAGCTTACAAAGGAGGGAATGAAGAGAAGAGAAAAGACAAGACAGCTGAGAATGGCAAGAATGAGGAGTTTCAGGGCAGTGTGACTTGAAGCACTCTGGCCACATGGGTGGGAACCATAAACTGAGGAGTCAGCCCCATCCCTTACTCATCAAATCATTCTGAGCAAGTTACTTGGTTCGTCTGAACCTCAGTTACCTCTTGCAAAATGGGAATAGTATCCACATCATGGGGTTAATGTCACATGAAGTGAAATCATTGTTTGCAAGGCACTTAGGACAGGGAACTGAGTGGCTGTGATAATGCCATAGGCTTCAGCCTTTGCCCTGAAGCCAGGAAGCGTTTTTTTCCCTGTCCTCTTAGTTGCTACATTCTTTTATTTATTTATTTTTTACTTTAAGTCCCAGTATACATGTGCAGAATGTGCAGGTTTGATACACAGGTATACCTGTGCCATGATGATTTGCTGCACCTATCAATCCATCATCTAGGTTTTAAGCCCCGCATGCATTAGGTATTTATCCTAATGCTCTCCCTCCACTTTTCCCCCACCTCCCAACAGGCCCCAGTGTGTGCTGTTTCCCTCCCTGTGTCCATGTGTTCTCATTGTTCAACTCCCACTCATGAGTGAGAATATGCAATGTTTGGTTTTCGGTTCCTGTGTTAGTTTGCTGAGAATGATGGCTTCTAACTTCATCCATGTCCCTGAAAAGGAACTCATTCTTTTTCATGGCTGCATAGTATTCCATGGTGTATATATATGTGTATATATATATATTCCACATTTTCTCTATCCAGAATATTATTGATGGGCCTTTAGGTTGGTTCCAAGTATTTGCTATTGTAAATAGTGCTGCAATAAGCATGCATGTGTGTGTATCTTGATAGCAGAATGATCTATAATCTTTTGGGTGTATACTTAGTAATGGGATTGCTGGCTCAGATGGTATTTCTGGTTCTAGATCCTTGAGGAATTGCCACACTGTCTTCCACAATGGTTGAACTAATTTACACTCCTACCAACAGTGTAAAAGTGTTCCTATTTCTCCCTAGCCTTGCCAGCATCTATTGTTTTCTGACTTTTTTTTTAATAATCATCATCCTGACTGTCATGAGATGGTATCTCACTGTGGTTTTTAGTTGCTACATTCTTTTTTGTTATCTTCCTTTTTCTTTTCTTGAGAGGCAATGCAGTGTGCGGATTAAGACATCCAGAAGGCCAGGCGCGGTGGCTCAAGCCTGTAATCCCAGCACTTTGGGAGGCCAAGGCAGGTGGATCACGAGGTCAAGAGATCGAGAGCATCCTGGCCAACATGGTGAAACCCCGTCTCTACTAAAAATACAAAAAATTAGCTGGGCATGGTGGCACATGCCTGTAATCTCAGCTACTCAGGAGGCTGAGGCAGGAGAATTGCCTGAACCCAGGAGGCGGAGGTTGCGGTTAGCCGAGATCTCGCCATTGCACTCCAGCCTGGGTAACAAGAGCGAAACTCCGTCTCAAAAAAAAAAAAAAAAAGACATCCAGAGTCAGAATACCCATGTCTGACTCCCAGCTCTGTAATTTGCTGGCAGTGAGACCTTTGGCAGATTGGTCCCTCTAAGCCTCAGTTTCCTCATATGTAAAATGCAGATAATAATTCATATGCACACACATACACACTTCTAGAATCCAAAAAGCTTTGTAAATGTATATATTTTTTCCTGAGTTTGACATGGCAGCAGGACCAAACCTGAACGGATGTGATGCTCTTTATAATCATTATGTATCCAACCAGGAGTGAATATTTGTATATCTAGCTGCAGAAATACTACTGTGTTTGATGATAGGATCCTCCCCTGACTGCTGGAATGTTCTGTGATATACTATTTTACTTTGTAAAATCCAAAGTTCTGAATTCTGAAAACATCTGCCCACTAGGTGTAAAGTATTGTCAGCCTGTGGTATTTACCCCTGGGCATGCCCTTGAGGACCGAGTGAGAGGATGCGGTGATAAGGCTTTCACCAGAGGAGCCCCAGGCAGCTCTTGGAAATGCTATTTGCATAGAAGACCATACTCATGGTGCCTCCCAAGTGGAGCCATGGGGATTATGCTACAGAAGAATTGCTATGGCCCTGGCACCAAGCAAGCGCTCAAAAACAGTAACAGCTAACATGAGCATAGGTGCTTGCTCTGTGCCAGACACAGTTCTAGGGGCTATACATCATATTATCTCTTTTTATTTTTACAACAGCCTTTATGAGGTAGACACTATTATCTCCACTTTACAAGTGAGGAAACCCAGACACAGGAGGTTAAGTAAATTACCCAAGACTTTCTGATAAAGAGAGACAGAAGTCAAATGTTAGCTACTACTGTTTCCTCTTTTCTTTCATCTCATTATAAGTGCTGCACATAATAAAAGAATGAAGAAGGGCCGGGCGCGGTGGCTCACGTCTGTGATCCCAGCACTTTGGGAGGCCGAGGCAGGTGGATCATGAGGTCGAGAGATCGAGACCATCCTGGCCAACATGGTGAAACCCTGTCTCTACTAAAAATACAAAAAAATTAGCTGGGCATGGTGGCGCGTGCCTGTAATCCCATCTACTCAGGAGGCTGAGGCAGGAGAATTGCCTGAACCCAGGAGGCAGAGGTTGCAGTGAGCCGAGATCACACCATTGCACTCCAGCCTGGGTAACAAGAGCGAAACTCCGTCTCAAAAAAAAAAAAAAAAAGGATGAAGAAAAGGAGATCCATGTCTAATGAAAATTTTCCAGGTGCTACTTTCAAACTGTGTCTCATTTTATCCACAAAACAAATCTGAGGTGGATGCAAAATTGTTCTTTTACAGAAGGAGTATAGAGAACTTAAGGGACGTAAGGAGGGCAAGGGCATTCATGCGGAGGTCCGTCCTGTGTCCTATTCCAAGACATACTCTTGCATCTCAAGAGGAAGTTTTGACCGGGGAGTTAAGGGTTAACCAGCTCAGGCTGGAAGAGCTGAATTACCCAATTAAAGGAGACTTGCTACTTTGATGGAAAGGTCTGATCCAAAACTGCTGGGGTGACTTTCCTTGACCCTACCGCTTGAGCAGCTTGATTTATCTTTTCTGTATCTGTGACCTTAATGTTGAAACTATTATTCAACCCTCAGTGAAGTTCTTAACTGGCTTTTTTGAAATGACTCATGCATTAGGGTCCAGCCGCCTTGACTTTGTAGGGCCCCAGGCCCTGAATTAGCTTCTGAGAACCCAGTGCCCAAACTGGTGTCTGCAGGTGGGCCTGGTGGACCGTAGGTGGCAGCCTTCTCGGCTCTCCTTCTCTCCTCTCTGGATGTGTGCATGCCTTTTCTCTCCTTTCCTGCTCATTTGGAAACAGATCCCAACTCATTTCTAAGGCACACCCCAAGGATTTTGTTTGTTTTTTTGTTTTCACCTTAAAATCAGCCCTGCACTGTTTTAGCCCTCCCATCAACCTATCTATATGGACAAATCTCTAGTTTTGATCAGCTGTCTTTCTTTCTCCTCCAAGCTCTCTTCCCTTCCCACTAAAGAAATTCTTAAATGAGAATCATGATGGGCTCACTAGATCTTCTATTCACTGCTCACTTGAATTTGGTCCCTCCCCCAGCTCTGCACTTTCAAAGCCTACCTCCTCTTCCCACTCTCCACTCCCAGAGGGAAGCCGTGGGCCCCTCCCTTCCTCCTGGATGCTCCTTCTCCAGCCAGAAGCTGGCTCTGTGGTTTCTGTGCTTCTTTTACTGCCCTTTTCATTTTCCTTTCCTGGCTCTTCTTAGAGCTTAAATGCAGGTACTTCCTGCAAATGTGTGTTCCTGTTCCTCCTCAGTACACCACCTTCCTTCTGATTTCATCCAACATTTTACGGCTTCAACTATTGCTTCTGGGTGTTTGGCTTCTAATCTGTTGTCTAGTCTGACTGCTTTCCAGAGATCAGAGCTTGATTTCCAGCTGCAGAATGTGTGTGCTGAAGTCCCCTCTGGCATGGCATGCAAATAGTGCTGCACCTTGTTGCAATCCAATTCATGTGCTGCATTCTCTCAGAGGTTCAGGCTTCAAATTTGAGAGTCAGTTTCAGCTCCTTTCAAGCACTGACCAAACTGTGGAAATTCTATTTCTGAATTTCTCAAATCTTTTCACCTTCTTTCCACTGTCCTAACCTAGACTCTTAATATGTTCTTTCTTGATTATTGCAATAGTTTCTCAACAGATCTCTTTGAATGTTATCATTGGCTCTCAGAGCTAGTGTAGAATATGCTAGCAATAAGTGGGATAAGTCCAGAGCAAATCATATCATATCCTGAAAACTTTCCGTGAGACCCTTATTGCAAATTAAGTAAAATAGCAACTCTGTAACCTGTGGTGAAATGTCCCTCTCATTTAGCACAGCCTCCATCCTGGCCCCATCGCTGCCCAGGGTCCCTGCTCCTGCTCACGTCACAGCCTGGTTGCTTTCTCCTAACTGGAAGGCTATCCCCCTTTGCTTCTCTCTACCTGGCAATATACCACCCTGCATTAGAGGCTGGGAAGCAATTTTAGGAGGCTTTCCTAGATCTCCCCAGAAGGAATTACAGTCATGATAGAATTAGGGGCAGCAGGCTAGCCCATAAATTAGGGTCAAATTGTGTTTACCAGAGATTAGTGCATTGTTTGCACTAAACACCATAAGTCTAGTATTAAAATGTCATTTTTATTCTCTACACTCAGTGTTATAGCAGGAAACCAGGAAGTTAATTGTGATTACCTTGGTGAGTCAAAAAAGAGAAACTCACAAGATATGG